TCATCATGATGCCGGGTGGAAGCGGTTCACTTTAGACAAAACATGAAACCCGTTTAGACGTTTCCAATATTTTTCTCATTAACTACGAATATCGAAGCATTGGATTGTTAGCGACTGAAAACGAAGCATTTACTGGGAAGCCACTTCCACTTGAGGCGGGGTTTAATGATTGCAGAGCGTATTAGGAGCACATTGTGCTAGGAAATGATATCGCAAAATTGTACATTTAGGACAGTTTCGTGACAAACGTCCTGATACTTTTTGAAGACTGCAGACAAGTTAGGCATTAGGTAACCACTTTACAGTCTACATGAAATATTTGCATACTACACCTGCGAAACTGCCTACCCTGACAGGCTGCCAGCCGGCTGAAGTTTTAATGCTGTTTTTATCATAAATTTTCTTCCATTTGATATGAGTATCACGGCTACCTAACTATAGTTAATTAGAGCTTCTGAATGTCTTCACTTTTTTTATTTGTTTCAAACCGTCACTAACAGTAGTTCCTCGAGTGTAAAAGAGCCAAAGAACTGAATGAATAAATAGGCCATCGCGTAGTGTCATTAAATTTTTCAAATCAGGAAATAGGTTTTTATTATTTATTCACGCAGCGTTGCACCAGTTAAAAGCTTTACGACTTCGCAGTTGTGCATCGTTAGTTCTTATCGTCAAAAAATTATATTCGGCAACTTAAAAAGTTGCCATCTAATTTATGTAATTATCAACGAATACAATGCACTAAATTCTGACGAGCAAACGAACATTCATCGTCTTTCAAAATAGGAGGAAACGCTCTTACAACCAGAAACTAAAAGTTAATCTATCACAACAAAAGATTCTGTATCTATTTAATTTTGTTACATAAAAATGAAAATAAGATTTAAGAAGAACCGATCCTCTAGTTAGGGAGAGAGACAAAAATAATACTATGAGTTGTCTTTTTAAATTGCGTGGCTCTGAAATAGCTGTCGAGGAAGTCAGTTGCATGCATGCTCTGATATATTTGAGGAGCGAAACATCCATTAAAAACACCTGTAATTAAAATCTGTCCTGAGACATCTGCGGTTGAATTTTAACTAACTGGCCTTTTGCACTTTTCATTCAAATTACAAATGAGCGAATTTTTCTGTTTCGTTTAAATCCTCCCGACTGGCCCCTTTTGTTATCGTTTACGGCCTCAAAAAGGCGGGCGCTTTGTCACCTGATCGACATAGTCAGACCGCGAGCATTTAACACTTTAAGCACGAAATTTTGCTGTGAAATTTATAAAATCCGTACGTGATGGGTTAGTCTAACACTGCGTGCAGTGTGTATTTGAAATTATATGCGGAATAATTTAGCGACATGTTTACAAAGCTACAATGGGAATATTTGTCAATTAAAACTTTGCTGATGGTTTTATATGAGCGTGGCGATCCTCTCGGGCCATTGTCAAAACTGACCAATCACATCTCTCCGTCGAGCAACTGCAGTGAATTGCTTTGTTTCAATTTTGTATTATTCATAAAGGCGACTTTTTCAGCCCTTGATCATAAAACTCAGAAGGTGGGAGATATTTGCACCTGCTGACGGCACGAATCTCAGTTATTAACCAGTCCGGAAATTCGTATTCTTAAAGGCCTTTAGCGGCGGGAATACTACTAACACTCTAACGAGGCGGAAAACTCACAGTTTTTCCAGCGCAAAATATTTTTAAGGGGATTAATGTGAGTAGGAATGGCCTCCAAGGAAATTCAAACACTTCCGAAGCCGAGTGTGTCCCTCACTAAAACTCATGTTGAAAGACCGAGAAGGATTTGCTCAAAAAGATCGTATTGCGAAGTTGAACCAGACGATGATGAATTTTCTGCAGAAGACGTAAAACAATATAGACCCAAAGGTAAGTAAGTTAGTAAGAACATTTTTAATCACTGTGCCTTGATCGCTGGTTTAGGATGTGGTAATTAGTGCCCTAGCTGGTAAAATGAGTTTCTCGGAAATATATAAATATTATGTCATGTTAACAATTTATAAAGTTTTGGATGTCGAAGTCGAATGAAGCAATTTTAAGTCAAAAACAACGTCGTATTTTTGCTGCATGTTGGGAGATGATTCTAAGAAAGGACTATATTTTATCACCAATTTAAAAAATGGTGCAATTTAATCAAAAATAATAGTCGCGATGAAAGTGGCAGAGTCGTTGGAACAGTTATATTCGTTAGAACTAAAAACGTGGTGAAGCGCAATAACCAAGCTTTTTGCTCGTTGTTTAACACAATGAACAGAACGGGAAAAAAGACATCGATATTACAATAATCCTAAGTCTTAAAAAAAACAATTGAATAAGAGCTTTACATTGTCCTGTAGCAAGGCAAGGTTATAATTTTTCCTTTGTTTAAATAAGTGTGTTTTGCCATGTGAGAATTTTCATTTCGCAAGGAGCCCAAGTTTGTCGTATCAAATTTATGGCTTTCAGTGAGAACTTCGCTTTGAGAAAGAAGTGATCTTATTCCGCGACAAATTGTCGGAGTGTTTTAA